CGGGAGTTCATTCGCATCGCAGGCCTTACAAACATGCCACACGGACCTCTGATCCGGGTTTTCAACAAAAGGGCACAAGCCTCGCCGCACGACAAATCGCCTTCATATCCAACCATCCGGAGCTGGTGCCTCGAGGCTTGCAGGAAGGCGGGACTCGACGCCACGCACATCGGAACACACTCATTCCGCAAGGGCGCAGCAACAGCAGCAACAACTTTAGGCATCCCCGACCGGCTCTTCAAACGAATGGGGCGCTGGCGAAGCGACGGCGCGAAGGACCTATACGTCACCATTGCCCAAGACCAACTCATCGACCTCTCCACCCAGCTGCAGCACACCTCAGCAGCCCCATCGCCTGCTAGGCACCAGCAATCGTTGGAGAGGCACCGCCGACCCAAAATGCACTTGCCTCAGAAGACCCACTTGGAATGAAGCACGCTGCCTTTGCAAGATGGTCTAAGCAAGCTTTCACAATATTATAATTTGTAAAAGTGTAACACTTTTTCAAATTTCGTATTGTGAAAGCGAGGGCGTGGCCAGCAAAGCAAAGGTAGCGGCTCGACGCTACTCACCCCTCTTTTGCCTACAAAAGAGGAACGTGATTCCAGTAGCTCCACCCACGTTCTTCATTTCCATTTTCTAGTTTTACTTTTCCACCACCCACCCCATTGTGTATCATTGATGAACGAGAACGTTGTACTTGCCCACTTGGAATGAAGCACGCTGCCTTTGCCAGATGGACTAAGCAAGCTTTCACAATCGCTCAATTTGATCATGCATTCGCTTCCAAATTGTTTAATATCCATTTTTTTCTGAGTTATTTCATTCTTTCAAAATTCAATAGTTACCACGTCTTAACCTCTAATATGAAATTTTTTTAATACATTTTCAAATTTTGAAGATTATTGTCAAATGTCTATATCATTTAGATAAGTTGCAGTGAGGTAGTTCTTAGAGGGTACATGATTTCTCATGCTGCCTAGTAACATCATGCTCCTACCTAACTGTTGGAAACAACTGATTTAAGCGCCTCTGTCGTGTCGAAACACCAAGACAGAAGCGAAACAGATCGTATCGAAACATCGGTGAGTCAACCCTCGGAGGTTGAACAACTGCTGGAGGTTACGCGAAAGTCAAAGGTCAGCGACCTTTGACCTGACAAATGCAGCGCGACAGCAAGGACAAACAACTGTCTCGATACTGAGCAGTTGCCCGAGTCGACACTGTATCGAACCGCAACAGCAACAGTAAAACAGTTATTAACTGTATCTCTTCATATTCCTTTGTATTCTTATAAAAGCTTGTATCTCTTTTGTTATTATCAACTTACTTTTCCCTCACATACCAGCGCAAGGTGGTTCACAATCTTTTCATTAAACGCTTCCGCTATTACATTATCCTTGTCAGACTTATATGCCTTAGCCTATGTAGGCTGTAGTGGGGTAGACACTAAGGGGTACAGCTTTCATATTTGTATCTCACACTTTCCTAGTTCAATCATTCCTCATTTCTTCACATGGTATAGAGCAGGTTCCCTAGTGGGAACGCTTCCTTGGGCCCACCACCACTGAAATTTTTTTTTCTGACCGGAGCGCCAGTCGCTCCTGCCCGAGGCGCGCCTTGTGGGCCGCCCTTCTGTTGAGCTCTCTTAGAGGCTCCCCTCACGGCCCCTCGTGCCGCCCCTAGCGGCCCCGTCGCCGCCCTTCCAGGCCCCTCGCGGCCCCTAGCGGCCCCGTCGCCGCCCCTACGCGGCCCCGTCGCCGCCCCTGCGTGGCCCCGTCGCCGCCCCTACGCGGCCCCGTCGCCGCCCCTAGCGGCCCCGTCGCCGCCCCTACGCGGCCTCGTCGCCGCCCCTAGCGGCCCCGTCGCAGCCCCTACGCGGCCTCGTCGCCACCCCTAGCGGCCTCGTCGCCGCCACCCTCCCTACGCGGCACCGTCGCCGCCCCTAGCGGCCTCGTCGCCGCCACCCTCCCTACGCGGCACCGTCGCCGCCCCTAGCGGCCCCGTCGCCGCCCCTAGCGGCCCCGTCGCCGCCCCTACGCGGCCTCGACGCCGCCCCTAGCGGCCCCGTCGCCGCCCCTACGCGGCCCCGTCGCCGCCTCTAGCGGCCCTGTAGCCGCCCCTCCGCGGCCTCGTCGCCGCCCCTAGCGGCCCCGTCGCCGCCTCCCTCCCTACGCGCCCCTGTAGCCGCCCCTAGCGGCCCCGTCGCTGCTCCCCTCCCTACGCGGCCCCGACGCCGCCTCTCCCGGCCCCTTCAACGCCGAGCCGCCCAGCAGCTGAGCCGCCCAACCGCCCAGCAGCCGAGCCGCCGAGCCACCGAGCCGCCCAGCAACCGAGCCGCCGAGCCGCCCGACAGCCGAGCCGCCCAGCAGCCGAGCCGCCGAGCCGCCGAGCAGCCGAGCCGCCGAGCCGCCGAGCAGCCGAGCCGCCGAGCCGCCTGACAGCCGAGCCGCCCAGCAGCCGAGCCGCCGAGCCGCCCGCCAGTCGAGCCGCCCAGCAGCTGAGCCGCCGAGCCGCCCTGCTGTCGAGCCGCTACTGTTCCTACCGGCGCGCCCCGGCCCTACTTCCTCGGACTGGTGAGATCACTCTCTGTTAGGCCACTGCAGTCATGGCTACCCCCAGTGTCCTTACCTTTGATGCTGAGGGTCGTGCTGTTGACTTTGAGGTCTGGGTCGATGACCTTCAGCTGTTCCTACAGTGCGATAGGGCAGACGGACTCTCCCTGTTCGATCTCACCTCTGGTGCCTCTCCTGCCCCGCCTGCTACTGCTGACAGCACGGTTCGCTCACAGTGGGCCACACGCGATGCTGCTGCCCGTCTTGCTGTGCGTCGCCACTTACCGCCCACTGAGCGTGCGCACTTTAGTCAGTACAAGAGTGCTCAGACCTTGTACGACGCTGTAGTTGCGCGCTACTCTTCCCCTGCCACTGCTGCGCTTAGCCGCCTCATGCTGCCGTACCTGTTCCCTGACCTTGCTGCCTTTCCCACAGTCGCTGACCTCATTACGCACCTTCGCACTAGTGACACTCGCTACCGCGCTGCGCTTCCTGCTGAGTTCTGTGCCAAGAACCCCCCCCCCATGTACATCACCCTCTACTACATAGTCACCCGGCTCCCTGACTCCCTTCGCTTAGTCAGGGACCACTTCCTCTCAGTTTGCCCCACCACACTCACCGTTGACCTCCTCGAGGAGCGCCTCCTAGCAGCAGAGAAGAGCATAGTCGCTGTAGGAGCCTCTCGTGGTGACCCTCGCACCCTCGTCTTTGAGGGGTGTTCCCCCTCCCCCCTCTTGCCCTCTGTTGCTTCTGCTGCTGCGGCCGACCTCGGTGGTTTCGAGTCGGTCGGCGCTGCGTCTGCCCCTAGCGGGAGACGCCGCACCGGCAAGGGCAAGGGGGGCAAGGGCGCTGGTGGGGCTGGCGGGGGCGGTGGAGGTGGTGGTGGAGGCAGTGGAGGGGGTGGGGGTGGTGGTGGGAGTGTTGGCGGGGGTGGAGGTGTCGGCAGCAGCAGTGGAGGCAAAGGAGGCGGCGGCGGTGGCGGAGGGAAATTTTTCGGGGAAATTTTTCCCCCTCTATCAGGGCTGGAAATTCAATAACTCTGAAATTTCAGTCTCCACGAAGTGGAAAGCCTGAAATCACCCTGAAATCAGGGTAATTACCCTGATAAAATCAGCCCTGGTCAACACCCCCATTTTCACTTAGTTTAACTTTCGAGGACCTACTGGTTGCGCGTCCAGTCAGTATGAGTTGGCACGCGGGCAAAATGACGTGCAAAAGCTCTGTGCACCGTCAGGAAATCGCCCTCGCGCGATTCTGATTCTCGACCCTGTAAAATTCCGATTCGATTCAAATTACGAGACTGAAATGTACAATTTGGAGCGTTTAAGTTGTATTTCTGTATTTGTCGTTATATAAGCGCCGGCGCTTATGGCCGATATTCAATCACAAGCGCCCCCCTTAAAAAAAAACTGATTTTATTATAAGCGCATATGCGCTACTATCCGGGGTAATACGGTACTTCCCGCATAGCGCATACTTGTTCCCTTCGTCTCTCACCTACATCACCCACGCACAAGAATGCGTTATTATTTGCGCCGAACATACTTCCCACATAGCGCATACTTCTTCCCTTCGTGGCCTACAATGAAATACTTCCCACCGCCAGTAATCCCTTTCGCATTAGAGATTGCAGAACTCTCTGACGTGGTGGGCGATGTGGCGCCCATTTTGAAGCTGTAACGCTTGTTACCACCACCTTTCCGGGTTGTTATATTCAACCATTTGTCTTCAGGAAAATTCACGTAAGAAGGGGTACCGCTTGTGCAAGTTGATGCAGGAGTAGTCATGGGAATCTTTCCTCTGGACTTTATGCCGAAAATAAAAATCTTCAAAAAAACAGTGTATCTCACTTCAGAGTACCTGTCAAGCGGACATGGGAAGAGACGGGAAATTTTGAAGTTAGTCAGATTGCTTGTGCTGACTTACGGATGCCCCCATGTCACAGTTTGCATAGGCAATACTGACTCGCTAGTAGCATTCTATACGTGCTCGCTCCCAGTTGAGGCTACAAGTTTTTTCAAGAACACAAGCACTAGCTGTGTCGGTGTGTCTGTTGCCGTGCTGTGGTGATTCCTCTATCGTGTCAGCTGGAGTAAGCAGCACAAACATCCGTACCTCGCAGCTTAAGCATGGTTAAAACCATGGTTCAACCCACTCACAGCTTAAGCACGATCTGACACACAAGAGAATTGCTTCAGAGCAAGTGATCAATGAGACATGATCCCACATCAATGGGACATGATCTCACAGTTTTCACACATGATGACCCCATACACGTGTTAGGCGCCTCAAAACGATAGATCTTAAGGCTTTCACACATGATGGCTCCATAAACGTTCTTAGGCGCCTCAAGTACGAACTAGCTAAGAATAAGTGAAGGACAGGACACTCTCCCTACCTCAAAGCCTTCACAACAACTCTTCCGAGGCGCCTCAAAAGCCTTACCTCACCGCCTTCACAACAATTCTCCCTGAAGCCGCTTTGTCACCGATCACTTTCCCCTGGTGCCACGTGGGACGCAAGACGGCGCCGAATCTCGCTGGAAAAGTGGGAATGGCGGGGATCGGGCAGACGGGGGGAAAAGTCAATGGAGGGATAGAAGTGACACATTGTAACGCTGCATGAAGGGATGATCACAACATCAAGTCGCATGTCGCATGTCGCATGGTAGAAATGGTATTCCTCCGTCTGCCGCGGGGAAAGGTAGTTTCGACCCAGATCCAACAGATCTTAGTCGTTCTAATCTCCTCTAATAGGGATTGAGTAGGTAAGAAAAATGTCATTCAAATCTGGGGCACTATCCAGGCCTGGGGCACTATCCAGCCCTGGGGCAATATCCAGCCCTGGGGCACAGCTAGTTGAAGGGTGACGTAAGTAGGTAGGTGGCACCATGACGCAGTGACGCCACCACCAGAGCTCGTACGAACGCAAGAGCTCGTCGACTAGAACACAGTAAGCGTTACACACCATCTGAGGCGTGTCACACGCAACAAGCGCTGCACACGCTTACCTATTATTATTCCTTTTAACAGCTGACGCCTGGGGTGAAGAGTAGAGGCGGCAGAAGTGGCAGACGCAGCAATCGCTCCAGCGTCGCGAGGGAAGAACGATGAGGCAGACGCGCCATGGACAGTGAAGAGTGCCGCACCTGCAGGCAGGCAGGCGGGCAGGCAGGCAGGCGGGCGGGCGGGCGGGCGGGCAGGCAAGCAAGCAGGCAGGCAGGCAGGCAGGCAGGCAGCCAAGCAGGCAGGCAGGCAGGCGGGCAAACTCAGCCACGGACCCAGTCGCGGAGAGTGAGCAGCGCACTGAACCACTCGCGGAGAGTGAGCAGCGCACTGAACCACTCGCGGAGAGTGAGCAGCGCACTGAACCACTCGCGGAGAGTGAGCAGCGCACTGAACCACTCATGACTCATGCTCTGGCATGAATCGATCATCTCACGACTCGTGATGAATACGCCGCTTACAGAGTAGTAGCATGCGGAGGGGAACAGCAGGGGGACATCAATCGATCATCATTTTTGTTGCAGCGGCTGCTTACATAGCAGCATGCAGAGGAGTGCTGCGCGCTCCGAGCTCATCGCCGCAGTCCTGGCAGGGCAGTGCTAATTTCGTGGAGAAGTGCTGGTCATCGCAGAGCGGTGCTGGTCGAGAAAGAAGAGAAAGCGAAAGAAGGTAGCGCAAGAGAGTTCACTCGTTCCAATAACCGATTCACAACATTCATCTATTCACTCACTACCACTGTATCCGTGTCCTCGCCCCCACCTGGAACCACAGACGTCGACCGAGAGGCCCTGTTCGATATCCTAACAGAACGGGTACGGGAGAGTGGTTCGGTGCACCTCATCCCGAACCTGACACTAAAAAAATATGAAACCGACTAATCATTTTGCCGGCCGGCAACAGTAGCGAGATGACAAGGGGGAATGAAATCTGCCGGTCAGTCCGGCTGGCGCATCTGTCGGTTTCCAAGTTGCGTTACAAGGCTTGCATAGCACCGCAGATTGCGTGCATCACCATAACCACAATATTTCTGTTAGAACAATCTCTCACAATTCTCTATTCATTTTCTTCCTCTTGATCATGCATTCGCTTCCAAATTGTTTAATATCCATTTTTGGTTGCTGAGTTCTTTTATTCTTCCAAATTTCAATAATTACCACGTCTTTACCTCAAATATGAAAAAAATTGAAATACATTTTCAAAATTTGAAGATTATTGTCAAATCTTCATATCATTTAGATAGGCTACAGTGAAGTAGTTCTTAGAGGGTACATGATTTCTCATGCTGCCTAGTACCATAATGCTCCTACCTAACTTAGGGTGCATGTGATCTATTTTGAAGTTCGGAAAAAATATCAAACTTTTGGTGGTTACCCGTTTCGGTACCGTAATTTCGTCAAGGCCAGCGCCAGCATGCCGAGCGAGCTCCTCCCAACCTCAAGCACTCAAAGGGAGCTCGAGGGAGTCCTCTGGGCGCTAGAGACGTTCGCGTCTCACATCAAAAGCGGCCACGTTTTGGTTCGCGTGGACAACCAAGGAGTCGTGTTTATCTTGCGCAAAGGGGGGTCCAGCCAACCTCGGCTGACACTGACATGTCAAGCAGTCATACAGTTCTGCCTCAAGAACCATACACGCCTGGCAATCGAATGGATCCCACGGGAGCTAAATGCCCACGCGGACGAACTGTCTAAAATCCAATACCACGACGACTACTCGCTGCACATGCCATGGTTCCTCCTACTGGAACGCCGATGGGGTCCCCACACGATTGACCTCTTCGCGAACATTACCAACAAGAAGCTGCCACGATTTTGCTCCAAGATACCGCACCCAAGCGCCACAGCAATTGACGCGTTCTCGATCTCGTGGAAAGGCGAGCGCTGCTTCACCTTTCCGCCCCCCAGCTTGATCCCGGCCACACTCTCTCACGCCAGGCGCACACAAGCCGAGTTGACACTCGTCGTCCCCAAGTGGCCGGGAGCAGCATGGTGGCCGTTGCTACAACCCTCCCCACAGAAATGGGCCCCAGAAGTGATGGCATGCTTGCCCCTCGCGCAAGGAAGCCAGTGCCTTCGACCTGGCACGCACGCAACAGCATTTTCCGGACTCGGCCTACCGCATAGCCCAATCATTGCCCTGCATGTAAAATATCATATGTAACTAATATTCGAATGGTAATTCTTTCAGGATTGTTGACCAAGCTTCAAAACCAATTGTTACAAGTTATAAATGATGTTCGCGCACCATCCACGATTGAGACATATCAACCCTACTGGCTCAAATTTCGCAACTTCTGCACTCGAGTCAAGTTAGCATTCATGCCAGCGACGGACCTCACGCTGGCACTCTACCTAGTCCACGCGCTGAACACCAAGGCAACGGTGTCAGCGATCAACCTCACGTGCTCCGCAGTGGCCTTCGCCCATCGGATGACCGGCGAGGCATCCCCAACGAACGGCCCGTTCACGCTGCAAGTACGGGAGTTTGCTAAGCGACATGGCCTACGCCCGACTAGGACCAAGGAACCCGTGTCACTCCATCAAGTGCACAACATGGCACGATCCTTCCTAGAATCAACAGTGCCGGCGGAATATCAGAAAGGCTTGATACCTCTCTTAATGTTCGCAGCATTCCTGCGCTACTCCGACCTGATCTCCCTCCAATGGAACGACATCCTGTTTGAAGGGGCGGCCATGTGGCTACTGATCCCATACTCCAAGACGGACCAAGAAGGCAAGGGCACGTGGATCCCGGTCGTAGCGTCAGCAGGGCCCTACTGCGCAGTGAGATGCACACGGGAGTTCATTCGCATCGCAGGCCTTACAAACATGCCACACGGACCTCTGATCCGGGTTTTCAACAAAAGGGCACAAGCCTCGCCGCACGACAAATCGCCTTCATATCCAACCATCCGGAGCTGGTGCCTCGAGGCTTGCAGGAAGGCGGGACTCGACGCCACGCACATCGGAACACACTCATTCCGCAAGGGCGCAGCAACAGCAGCAACAACTTTAGGCATCCCCGACCGGCTCTTCAAACGAATGGGGCGCTGGCGAAGCGACGGCGCGAAGGACCTATACGTCACCATTGCCCAAGACCAACTCATCGACCTCTCCACCCAGCTGCAGCACACCTCAGCAGCCCCATCGCCTGCTAGGCACCAGCAATCGTTGGAGAGGCACCGCCGACCCAAAATGCACTTGCCTCAGAAGACCCACTTGGAATGAAGCACGCTGCCTTTGCAAGATGGTCTAAGCAAGCTTTCACAATATTATAATTTGTAAAAGTGTAACACTTTTTCAAATTTCGTATTGTGAAAGCGAGGGCGTGGCCAGCAAAGCAAAGGTAGCGGCTCGACGCTACTCACCCCTCTTTTGCCTACAAAAGAGGAACGTGATTCCAGTAGCTCCACCCACGTTCTTCATTTCCATTTTCTAGTTTTACTTTCCCACCACCCACCCCATTGTGTATCATTGATGAACGAGAACGTTGTACTTGCCCACTTGGAATGAAGCACGCTGCCTTTGCCAGATGGACTAAGCAAGCTTTCACAATCGCTCAATTTGATCATGCATTCGCTTCCAAATTGTTTAATATCCATTTTTTTCTGAGTTATTTCATTCTTTCAAAATTCAATAGTTACCACGTCTTAACCTCTAATATGAAAATTTTTTAATACATTTTCAAATTTTGAAGATTATTGTCAAATGTCTATATCATTTAGATAAGTTGCAGTGAGGTAGTTCTTAGAGGGTACATGATTTCTCATGCTGCCTAGTAACATCATGCTCCTACCTAACTGTTGGAAACAACTGATTTAAGCGCCTCTGTCGTGTCGAAACACCAAGACAGAAGCGAAACAGATCGTATCGAAACATCGGTGAGTCAACCCTCGGAGGTTGAACAACTGCTGGAGGTTACGCGAAAGTCAAAGGTCAGCGACCTTTGACCTGACAAATGCAGCGCGACAGCAAGGACAAACAACTGTCTCGATACTGAGCAGTTGCCCGAGTCGACACTGTATCGAACCGCAACAGCAACAGTAAAACAGTTATTAACTGTATCTCTTCATATTCCTTTGTATTCTTATAAAAGCTTGTATCTCTTTTGTTATTATCAACTTACTTTTCCCTCACATACCAGCGCAAGGTGGTTCACAATCTTTTCATTAAACGCTTCCGCTATTACATTATCCTTGTCAGACTTATATGCCTTAGCCTATGTAGGCTGTAGTGGGGTAGACACTAAGGGGTACAGCTTTCATATTTGTATCTCACACTTTCCTAGTTCAATCATTCCTCATTTCTTCACATGGTATAGAGCAGGTTCCCTAGTGGGAACGCTTCCTTGGGCCCACCACCACTGAAATTTTTTTTTCTGACCGGAGCGCCAGTCGCTCCTGCCCGAGGCGCGCCTTGTGGGCCGCCCTTCTGTTGAGCTCTCTTAGAGGCTCCCCTCACGGCCCCTCGTGCCGCCCCTAGCGGCCCCGTCGCCGCCCTTCCAGGCCCCTCGCGGCCCCTAGCGGCCCCGTCGCCGCCCCTACGCGGCCCCGTCGCCGCCCCTGCGTGGCCCCGTCGCCGCCCCTACGCGGCCCCGTCGCCGCCCCTAGCGGCCCCGTCGCCGCCCCTACGCGGCCTCGTCGCCGCCCCTAGCGGCCCCGTCGCAGCCCCTACGCGGCCTCGTCGCCACCCCTAGCGGCCTCGTCGCCGCCACCCTCCCTACGCGGCACCGTCGCCGCCCCTAGCGGCCTCGTCGCCGCCACCCTCCCTACGCGGCACCGTCGCCGCCCCTAGTGGCCCCGTCGCCGCCCCTACGCGGCCTCGACGCCGCCCCTAGCGGCCCCATCGCCGCCCCTACGCGGCCCCGTCGCCGCCTCTAGCGGCCCCGTAGCCGCCCCTCCGCGGCCTCGTCGCCGCCCCTAGCGGCCCCGTCGCCGCCTCCCTCCCTACGCGCCCCTGTAGCCGCCCCTAGCGGCCCCGTCGCTGCTCCCCTCCCTACGCGGCCCCGACGCCGCCTCTCCCGGCCCCTTCAACGCCGAGCCGCCCAGCAGCTGAGCCGCCCAACCGCCCAGCAGCCGAGCCGCCGAGCCACCGAGCCGCCCAGCAACCGAGCCGCCGAGCCGCCCGACAGCCGAGCCGCCCAGCAG